AGCCTTCCACTCATAGTCCAGCACATCAGGCTTCTCTGGCCACTTCCATAATCGCCCGTACATTTCCATGGATGAAATAAAAATAAAAATAAATAAAAAAAAATTTTTTTAAATAAATAAATAAATTTCTAAAATAAATAATTAAGTAAATGCATTTTAATTTTCCGGTGGTGTTTATAATATCACGCACATGGTTATTTTAAAAAAGTGGACACTGGACGGAGTCAATAATTGACCGTGGATCAGTCAATAGTTGACCATGCGGTCATCCACTAAAACGCAGTATGCTACAAAATTTAGAACTATATTTTGTACTTCTAACAAAGTTAAATGCAAAATGGATACATTATAAATGGTAAACAAATTTAAATAACTCACGTCGGTAATTTACCACCCCGGTCAACTTCTAAAAACTTAGAATAACAAGATTCAGAATTTGACCCCCCAATAAACTATTGCTTTTTGTGGTTAGAATAACAAAAACGTTGCATTTATCACTTAGAAAACGCTGTGAGAATTTAATAAGTAAATAATTCAGTCACGAAGAGTTCGCAACGTATGGATTTGTTTACCTGAACCGTACAGCTGTTCTTAACAGAAACGTTAAGGAAATAGCAATATGGAGGCATATTACTTACCTTAATGAATTTAGACGTCCGTTGTTACTACGCATACTTCATTTCACATGTAATTGTTTTGAAATTTAATCGATAGATGTCTTGGCATGTCAGGTGCATTTTTTTTCAAAGGAGAATCACTTATAAAAATCTTATTTTTTACGTTTTCCTAAAAACTGGTCAACTACTGGTACCTTTACCTTAAATCGTTTAATTTCTTTCATACTATAGTACAGTGGTAGATGCAAATATTAGAATTAAGTATTCAAAAGTATATTTTTCTTTCATTTTCTTTTTAATTCATTTATAAAATAAAAATATTTCCAATTTTCGTAGTTTCGTTTCTATAATATCGAGGCTAAAGGTTTCTCGTAAAATGAAGATGAAATGAAAGACAGTGTTCATACATAAACGAGGAGGAGGAGCAGAATTTATAGAAACCGATTATTTATTGTTAACGTTGTATAATAATACTACGCGATAATATGCGAAACTAAATTGTGTTTGTATTCAATACAAGTTATAAATTCACGTATACACATGGTGTTCTTAAAATAACAGGCCAAACGTTATCTGTGTAGTTTACTCATCGCAGTGATAAAGATAGATCAGCAAATGGTTTATTTTCGAAACACATGTTTGTTTGTATTAGAGGAAATCTCTGTTTCAACCGGAAACAGACAGCAAATACACCTATTCGCGAACATTTTTTTACCCAGTGAACGTCAGTATAAATACGTTTCTCGGCAGAGAAGTTGAGTTTCTCTGCTACTCCCATTTGCCCACCTATGCGTAAAACGAACATCAAACATTTTAGCGTGTAAAGTAATTGTCGTATAAAATAATCTCAAATTAATATCGTTATTTAAAAAAAAAAAAAAAATATTGACAATATTTTTACGTATACATATACGTGTAGCCGATTTGTAATCGTGTATTGACATTTCATTCCAATGTTTCTTTTGAAAAGAAACTTTGAAACACTACATCTCGAAAATAATTGTTTTTCCTTTTTCTTGTTTTCCCTATACTTCTCAGTAATTTATTTGGAAAGACATTTGGCAAATTGTTGTAACAGTTGGGATTTGTAGCATGTGAATGATGGTCACCTCCGTTGAGATGTCATTACAGGCTTGAAAATAATGCATTTGCTAATTGATACGTTTTCCTTTTTATTGTTGCAAATACACTAGTATTTTTGCCAGTATACCTATTGGCGCCATCCGGAAGAACGAGTAAAATGGATTTTCAAAGCTTGAGTCAGCTAAATATGCTTATAAACAAGTATTCGGGGAATCAACTACCGATGACGGATAAGAAAACGAAATTACCGTATATTTTAAAGAGCTATTCGATTATGTCTTGGCTGATACAGCTAACATACCTGACTGTCTGCGTTTTTGGTCTTTTCAACGTACCCAGAGATAAAGCATTGAAGGACGGCACGGTAAATATAGTGGTTGCTTTAGAAGAAATTGTGCTGGTTATTTATTTGCACAACCGTAAAACTTTGGTACGAAGGTTAATTGGAGAACTGAATCGTGTTCTCGCGGTAGATAACGAGATGCTACGAAATGTCACGATTAATACCGTGAAATCCTTAGAGAAACCCTTGAAAATTTATACGATTGCCAGTGTTAATGCAGTTATGCTTTGGACAGCTTTGCCACTCGTCCAAGTATTTCGGAGATCTGAGTTCTATTATACGGATTATAGTGTGCCAGCTGCTCTATCTAAGCAACCGTTTTCATACGACGTTTTCGTCGGCGGCGTTGTTCTTCAGATTATTGGTGGTGTATACACCGTAATGAAAAAAATTGGCGTGGATATTTATACGATGCATTTGATTCTTTTAATGACGGCGCAGTACAAATATATTAGGGGCAAAGTTGCGATGACATTTCGACAGTATAACGAAGCTTTCGATGATTTCGGCAACAGTATTACTGGACTGAAAGTTTCATGCGAGAAGCAAAAAGTGATCAAACAGGAAATGAGATCGGCGTCTCATCATTACGAAGTTATAGTCAAGTAAGTATGAAATTCTAAATTAATGGTAAATGTTTTTAGTAGGTATCAACAACATAAATATGTTAATATTCCATGGATGTTTCGATAATAATCCATATTGCTTAGTCCTCTAACTTATGTTTTGAAATATGAAAAATTCAAAATGAATCATAACGTGCAAATTTTAAATTGCTCCTTTTGACATCTTTCAGTGTACAGAGACTTTTTTGTCTGAGTGTACACTTATCCTAAAACTTACCATTCCTCAGATATTCGACTTTGTCCATCTTATTGCTTGCATTATGAAACGTTGTTTTAATGAAAAATATTACGTATCGAGAAACAACAACTACACCGCAAGATATGATGCAACGGATTACTGCAGCATGTCCTGGAATAGACCGCGAGACGATAAGCATGCAAGGGATTCAACGGTTCACAGATTACATTATATCAGTGCATATGGTCGACACTTTGAACATGTTTCATAATGAAAGTAATAGGATTGTCAAAATCGAATACCTCAGGATTGATGAATTTTTGGAATAAGTGTACCTTGGTACTTTTTCACTCAGAAATTACTACTTTATCTAACTTGACTAGAAAAAATTGGACACTCCATTTATAAAAACGAAATTCACTTCCAGATCTCCTGTATACCTTTATCTGTAAAGAAACTATTTCCACTATGTTGTCTTTCTTGCAACCATACAACTTTCGTAAGTAGTGTTTTCACTTAATACTTGAAATAATGGAGATATTTGAAGTAGACAGACATGTTTACTACCTTTTCTGTCGAAATTATACAACGCTAAATAAATTCTATTGAAGTGTATGGAGACTTTTTTCAGTGAGTGTACATATCTATTTACATACAAGAATTACAACTTAGGAAAACATGTGATTTTGTGAAGACGGCAATTAAGTAAATGTACTGTCCGACAAACCTAAAGTGAAGCCTCTGATGTCACAGTCTAGCAAAATGGAGGCAAAATAGGCGGTTCAGGTCATCCCCACTACTCTTGGGTCTTACACTGCAGGCGCTTGAGGGGAAGTTGCATTGTAGGTAAATGGTTTAGACAAACAAATTTCAGTCAGCTGTCGATAATGTAGCACGCTGATAAAAGAACGGAAAACTAAAAATTATTTGGTCGCCTTGTCCTCTTACCTATATACGTTGGCGCGTAAGACATATTTAATAGCGCAGACGTTAATTTCTAAGCGACTCATACACAATAAATTGTTATTGTAAAGGAAGCCTCAGGAGAAGTATTAATATTTTTTAAGAGTTAGAAAACTAAAAAGGAAATATTTTTTTGCGATTCCTGAATAACAAAAGTAGATTTCGGCGCATTCAAAAATTGCTTAAGAAGCTAAAAAATTTCTGGCTGCAATGAAAAATAGCGTACCACCACAGACCGACAGTCACATTTTACAGCCAATAAAAGCCATCAAACAGCCACTATTTAATGTTAAAATTTTGAAAAATTTGGCAAAATCAGACGACATGTCGTCACTTTAACCGTAATATTTCGGCTTCGTTTAAAGATAATATTTTGACCTTGGGCTCATTTCATAGCAATAAACATAGCAATAATCGCTGCTAAAGTTTCAATTGCTAATTTGACACTGTTCCCACTCGTAGAATAATTTTGAAAAAATACCATTGGATTGTTTGAATTTTAACCTGTAAAATAAGCTTCTCGAAATAATAGACAAATTTTGGGAACATGGGATAAAAAAATAAAGTTTACCATGATGTATGTCGTTTGGCGTCGCGCAGGCATCTGTTCGCCTGTTTATGGTGTCTGTGCGACGTAAACTTAATTTTTTTTCGAGCGCTTGAAAATATCATTCCGGTCAATTATCGACTGTTCATCTGTTTACCGACTGCTCGAACGAAATCCGAACGTCGTCTATTGTTCTATCCCTATTGGCTGACTATAAGGGCAGACCTAAGAGTAACTGCGATAGCCTTATTCTATTCCTATTGGTTTACTAACAGCGAGCCGTCGCAAGTTCCCCTACATCTCCCACTTTTAGGCCCTGTGTGACGTCAGAGGCTTCACTTTAGGTTTGTCGGACAGAAGCTTAGGAACTTTACAAGAGCATTCAGTGATATTCGATTCCATTTGCATTAGAAATATTTGCAATATAATATTTATATTTTCTAAATTCTTCGATTCTAGTTAATAAACTTGAATTAACCAGAAAAAACTGTTGACTATTTATAAATACACCGTGCATAGAACCAATGAATTAAAGAACGGTGTTATTCAAGAAACGTTCGTTATATTACTAAAAGAATTCGACTGTCCGTGACAAGATGAATATATCCCTTTTAAGAGTTTATTATAAATTACTGACAATGAGAAGAAAACATTATTTACAAAGTTGTACTTGCAAAACTACTATAGAGCGCTAGTGGGAGCAGATTAGAGAGCGGGAGATATGAATCGAGCGAGTACAGTCGGTTGAACAAATATAATACATATAACGAGCTAATAAAATCGGTCAGGAGTCAAAGTAAACATATTTCGAGTGTTCTAACAAGGGAATCGACAGAAATATGGGAAGATAAGGACACGAACCCTCAGTCAGGGCCGTATTATGTATTCACCGTGCCTGCACAGGTTCTGTTATCCTTCAAATTCTTCTGGTATTCTTCGTTTTCACCTGTATTCTGTTTCAATTAATATTACTTTATCCACTGCTTTCTTCCAATGATTACTGTTTACGTTGCTTATTTCATTCTGTGTCAGTTTCACGTTTTTAAAATTCGACGTCGATCTGTGTTGGACACACACAGATTTACGATACGTTAGGCACAGAAAGAAATATCAAATATTAAAGGAAAAGCTAATTGGCATTTTTAATTTGTCCGAGAGTACACGAAATTGTACCCTTAGTCATCAATTGTCATCATTTTATTGTACTGACCGTAAAACAGAACGCCGCTACATCAAGCTGTGCCGCCACTTGATGCTTTAATTTACGATCGCCCTATACTTGTTCCACCGATCTTATGTATTTGGATCAGAATAACGAACAATAAGACCTTTCTGCCGTGATTTGGCGAAATATAAAAGATAATGGATCGTCGCGTCCGTGGTCAGATGCTTGCAAATACGTAAATACGAGACACGTTGTATGTATATCGAAAAAAAAAGTTTTGCTTTAAATAAATTTAATGGACACGCATCCGAAGGAAACTCATTAACATTCACAATCTCTTTATATATACATATTTTACAGAAAAAAGCTTATGCTACAGCCTAAATTAATTTTTTTATAACAATTTAAAAAATATGTTTAATATGAATTTTCCAGATATATTTTATTACATTTATACTTAAAATTATATGAATAATGTTTTGCTTAGAAGGTGTGAACTTTTTTAAAACTTTCACATCGTGTAGCAGATATGAGATGTTACAATACTGATCGACAGTAATATTATAATAAAAATTTGTAATTATTATAGGATGACTATTATGTTGAAGAAATTACTATCTCCAAACATTGGAATACTTTACGTAAACAACGTTTTCCGGTTCTGCTTTCTAAGTTTAATGATTATAACGGTATACCTTACGTTTTAGCTTCTTAATGTAGAATTTTTGGTTTTGTTCATAAGAAAGGAAAGTTGTTTATTTTTTTTCAGAATTCCGGAGATAATTTTGAAAAATTGATAATTGTAATGTATACAATTGGTGCTCTAACGCAATTTTATGTATTGTGCTTCTGTATTCAAGAGTTAGTCGAAGCGGTAAGGTTTAAAATTAATAATCAGGCTACAGGCAATAATAACAGATTCATCAACATATAATAAGAAACATTTTTATAATAAAACGCAATCATAACTTATCTCAACGTGTTCTTGAATTAGAGCACATCTGTAGCGGACGATGTAGTACATGAACGATGGTATTTCTGTGATGTACTAGTACAACGAGTAATTGCTATGATTATTTTAGCTGATAAAATGGAATGTAGACTGTCCAGTTTTCGGAACATAGATTTAACTTTACCATCTTTTATGTCGGTAAGTTTTTGTAAAATTCATACTTTTACTTTAAACTTATACAGGGTGTCCCGTAATTCCTCGAACACCCGGAAATGGGGGGTTGCTGGGGTGACTCTGAACAACTTTTTCCTTTACCAAAATGTTGTTTGAAGCTTCATTTTTGAATTATTAACGAAAAACACTGGCCAATCACAAAAAATTTTGACTTTGCACCGCTATTTTTATAAGGCTTAGAGAAATGGTTTTTTGCCGTCATTCCCACGTTTGTATAAATTTTTGAAAAAATTGCAATTAGTCGGAATCGCGTGTAAATGAGCCTCTGTTCTTCGTCCCTGATTGGCCAGTATTTTTCGTTAATAATTCAAAAATGAAGCTTCAAATAACATTTTGGTAAAGGAAACAGTTGTTCAGAGTCACCCCAGCAATTCTCCATTTCCGGGTGTTCGAAGAATTACGGGACACCCTGTATATGTATGTATACAGGGTGAACCGCCTGACGTGATCACCTTAGAATATTCTGTTATTAGTGGACCGATCGAAATTTTTTTTTGTTGCATAATAGGGTCTCAACATCCCCTAAAATATAGGTGTAAAAAATTATAGGTTTATCTATAAAAAGTTGAAGATGACTTTAAGAACTTCGAAACAAAATGAAATGATGAAAACTGTACTATAAACGTTTTAAAGGTCTCCTTGCACCATATTATGCTACAAAAAAAATATTTTGATCGCTCCACTAACAATAGAATAATCAAAGGTGATCACAAGTAGGCGGTTCATCCTGCATACACTGTACACATTATACAATTAAGTTTAAGGTGATACTATCGTCATTCTTTTAGATTCTAAACCAAGCATACTCGACTAGTTTGCTGTTTTTGAAAGCAAAATGAGATTAGGGTGCAATGCTATAACATTGTGTAATACA